GGGATTAGACAAATGCATGGAGGATAAGGCTATCAGTGACTGCTAGTAACGATGGTTATATATTACCTCCAGCAATCAGAAGCAGTAGGCCTCTGAATGCCAGTTGCGGAGGAACATGAGTGGGAGAGTGCTATTGCATTCATGCCTCGCTTTCAGTTTTCCGTAGGCACCTGGTTGACTAATCGTGGTGGGAGAAAAATCCAGGACTCGATAGGCCCTTGTTCTGATACAGCAGGGCCCTTATGTTCCTGCAATTGACCTAATCAGGAATTTGGCCCCTGCTCAAAGTCCCAGCATGCTAGCCGCTACATCACATGCCTTAAAAAATAAATAAATCCATTGAGATGGTTTGGTGATTCCATAGTAACGTCTTCCTCCACCTTTTAACCAGTTTTATGTGAGAGCAATTGCAGAATTTGTTGCCAGTGGTGGCCATACTTCTGGGCCATTGTGCAAAATACATTTAGGATCCCTCTCCTAATTAACAGGCATGGCAAAAGTGGTAGGAAGCTCTTCACTGATGACACTGTCAGTGCATGTCTTGGTCTCCAGGAAATTCCCACTACGTGTCTCTTTGAATTAGTAGAGGCGATCGGGCTTTATACTTGGCACGTTTCTGGCAGAGAAAAAAGTAAAAACAAACCAAAGTTATTTTTATATCTGTCACATACAACAAAATTATCATATATGGTAATTGAAGGATATTTCTGTGTTTAGTGGGAGGCCCTCATACCCTATGTGGCATCTACTGTTGGTTGTTCCTTCTCCTGACTCAATTTTGCCTCTAAAGCTTGGGTTGAAAAATTAGTGGTATGTACTATAAGCCATCTTTTCAGTTTGGTATGTATGCACATACAACCATTGCTCAGTGGTAGAGCACATGCTCTGCATGCAGAAGGGCCCAGGTACAGTCCCTAGCATCTCCAGATAAAACTGGGAAGGATGCTCACCTGTAGCCTTGGGGATCTGTCCTCAGCCAGTGTAGATCAGCCTCTCCCAACTGGTACCCAACTGTTTTGAACTACAGCTCCCATCCATCCCAGCCAGCATGGCCAATGGTCAAGAGTGTTGGGAGCTGTAATCAAAACACCTGTTGGGAAGCAGGTTAGGGAAAGCTGATGCAGAGAATATTGAACTAGATGGACTAATAGTCTTGAGTTCCTTTGCAACAAAAATGTAATCCTGGAAAGATAAAGTTTTCATACTGAGGTCACTTTTTAAGGTTCTTGGATTTTCTTGTTTTTTAAATCACACCCTTGCTGGTGTTAAAGAATTTTGCAACTGCATTTGAGTGCTGTTTGTGTATCATTGCTACTGCATTGCTTCTGCTCCAGAAGTCAATTAATATTGAAGGGAGCGAAGTCCAGTGGTAAATGGTTGTCAAATGACAACTTGGATGAGGTGCAAAGTGGCAAGACCTGCTTTTCTGTAATGGGGTGACAGCGCTCTATTTGTTGTTTCCTACTCGAGATCCTTTGGTTTGTAGCCTTTAGTTTAACTTAAACTGTAAAATTCATATATCTTGTTTTTCTGGGGGCTGCACTTCTGGAAGTGAGAGCATTATGGCTAGGATGCCAATCATTTGACCATCAAATGCTAATCTATTAATTGACAATATATTTGACCATAGTCAGCTATTCCAAGAGCTAGGGCCATTATATAGGCAGTTTCTTGCCATTGGTAGTTAACAAAAAGGGCTCAATCACACTTCCGTTTGCCCCACTGCTTTCCACTGGGAAAGTCCATGGTTTAGCGCTGAGTTAGAACAAACAGCAATTGGGTTTTCTGCAGATTGACATTTGTTCTGAATTAGTGCTGAAGAGCAGGTTTTCTGGGGGAAGGGCCAAGCTGCTTGGACCTATTCTTTCTAGGCACAGGACAAGCGTAAATGACCAAGAGTTTTTGACCGTTAAGGTGGCCATGCTGCTTTAGACCTTGTCATGTTTCATTGCTTTGTCTTTGTTGTTTTGCTATATATGGTCTAAAGTAAAATGACCATTGAATGCAAGTGGTTCTCAGCTTCCCATACAGGTGGAAGAAAAATCATGCTGTTAAGCTGTAATTACAGACTACTCTGCATAAATACATGCTTAAATGTGCAACTGTTGTAGGAAAGGCCAAATGAAAGAACTGCAATGTTAGCCGTGGTGTGCCAGAATGTGGACGTGTAAATGCAAGCACTTGCAAGTTTGCTTGAGTTCTCTCTGAAGCTGATTGCTTTGTGCCAAGAATTGAGGAGGTCGAAACCAGATAGATGAGAGTCTAAAAGACTGTCACAAAGACAGACAGTTCTCTCTGACTTGCACTAGGCTGTGGGGACTCTAGGCTATGAGAATGATTCTGAGTAAGAGGGTGACCCCCTTTCTCTTGCTCTGCACAAGTTGGGGATCTTGGCAAAGGGATTTATGGCTCCTGTTGGGCATGAAGTTAGAGATCCTTTGGATTTTACTAGCCAAAGTTGGTTGAGAATCCAGTAATGGATAGTGCGCTGAACTCTGGGAAGGGAAACCTTGATTCAGATCTGTTCAGCTTTGTTCTTCATCTGCTTGCATTTTCTCAACCTAACGCTTTTCACAGGGGTTTGGGTAGGATTTATTATGAAATGGAATAACGCCTCCTAATCTGCCATGAGTTCCTTGGAGAAAGGGTGGGATACAATTGTAATAAACATGCCTGCAATCACCTTTTTACTTAAAACTGCTTTTAAGTAAGAACAACGGTTTCTTGTGACACCTTAAAGACTAGCACATTTATTATGACATAAGCTTTCGTGGACTTAATCCAATGCAGATGCTTTTAAGCAGTCACAGCAACTGCCCCCCTTTATGTCTTCACGGTGAATTGCTGCTTTATTTAACTGCTTCCATGTTGAAATTCAAGGTTGCTTAGGATGCAGCTTTGCTTTCAGAGCAGAATTCATCTGTTGTTTTGTGAACTGGTGTTCCCTTGCTGAACAAAGCATTGGTGTGTGAGGGCTATAAAAAGAGGGTTTGGGGGGACTTGTTGTTGTTGTTGTTGAAAAGACACACACACACATTCTGTTTTCTCCTTCCTTTGGAACACAAGCCCGTTGCTTCTGCATATCTGCCAGGTTCTTTGTCACTGGCTTCACTGCTTTCCATGTTTTAGGAAAGCAAATTTCTGCAGCCTCTACTGGGGTGATCCTCCCATGATTTAGAACCCTAATCATCCAGGGTTCAGAATAGTGCGAGGAGCCTTCATGGGTAGAAAAGGCAGCGTGCCGCTGAAGTTCACTTTCTCAGCATGTGGACAGTGATGAAGCTGGCAGCGTGGACTCCTATGTGCTCTCCCCTTGCATGACGACAGCTGTGCGTGTGAGGAAATGCCCAAATAGGGTTAGTGTGAATGCCAGCAGAGAACTCCCTACTTGCATGGGGACTAGCAAATGGAGCAAAAATCCAAGCTGAATTTCAGCAGCTGGGTTATGGTAGCTTGTTCCAAGTTTATTTTTCATTTTAAGTTCTTGGCTTGGATCGTGAAGCTGTGATGCAAGCTTGGCTTGCAGCTGCAGCAGTGTCCGCAGTTCATTAGTACCGGAGGCAACTCCCTTCCTTCGTTGTGTTAGCCCAAGCTGTCAAACAGCATTGTCTTCCTTGGCGATGGAGGGAATATTACTGTAAATATTTGTGAATTCTATGCATGTGAAAGAGTTGCTTTACCTGCTATCTGCAGCTTAAACGTACTAGGTTTCAGAGCCCATAGCTGTGTCCGAAGTTTCAGTGGGGCTTTCTGCATGTTTTTGTTGGGGAAGGTACTTCCAAGCAAATGGATTGCCACACTTTGTTTTTCAATAAGGACCAGCTTATTATGGGGTGAGAGTACATGTGAAGTCTCCTTCCTAACAGTCCTTTCTTAAGGACTCTGCTGCACAAGGCAAAATACAGGCATTGCTTTTTGAGTTGCAGTAGTGCGCTAGTGTACCACAATATGAGAGATCGCACTAATGCACCTTCTATAAGATCGCACCTTCACGTTACTCATAGTCCTGTGCTACCTTTAGAGGCTAACAAATATATCATGGCATTGTAAGCTTCTATGGGCCAGAGACCATTTTCAGGTGCCTAAAATGGTCTGAAGTGTAGGGAGGTGTTTAGCTCCTTAAGGCCCAGGGCACTTGGTGAGAGGGAACATAATGCACTATCCTTGGGTGAAGCTAAGGAGGTCTGGGTTTGGTCAGGGCTTGAGATGACAAATATCTGGGAGCTCCATTTATGTCTCCTTAAGTTCCATGTAAACCAGGCATGTCTAAAGTCCGTTTCGGGGGTGTAATCCGGCCGGCCGGTTGGTTCAATCCAGCCCCTGTGGCAGATAATTTCCTGAGGTAAAATCCTAAAAAAACTCAACAACTTCAATCCTAAAAAAAGGTTAACAACTTTGGTCGGCCCTTTGATCAGCCCTCACGGCCCTTCACTTCATCAGATCTTGGCCCTCTTTGAAGAAAGTTTGGACACCACTGGTGTAAACTGAGGATGGGAAAGGGCATTAGTTCAGTGGTAGAGCATCTGTTTTGCATCTCAGGTTCAATCTCTCGCATGTGGGAATGTCCCCTGCCTAAAGCCCTAGCAGGTTTCTGCCAATCAGTGTAGACAATACTGAGTTAGCTAGCACAATGGTCCAGCTCTGTGTAAGGCAACTTCCTATGTTCCTGTGGAGACGGGAATAAAAATTTGACAAAGGGGAGCACCCGTTGCAAGAGGGAGCAGCCACACTACTATGCAGAGGACAAGTGAATGCAATCCAACCAAAGTGTGTATGTGCAGTGACTCTGCTTTGTGCAAGGTCTTGTGTGAAGTGCTTAGAGTGAAGTACCTAGAATGGTCCATTATAGATTGTTCATAGCCCTCTTTGTGGAGAAAGGGTGTGTTTTCCTTTGCAAGCTAATGTACTGGTTTTAAGGGAAACAAAGGCACTTCCTAGTGTTTCTTTCTAGTGAGCCGTTTCTTTCCTCTCTCTCCCTCCCTCTCCCCTTCCTTCTCCAGACCAATGAGTGGAATAAGAATGATGACCGACTGCTGCAAGCTGTGGAGCATGGCGACGCAGAGAAAGTGGCATCGCTGCTGGGTAAAAAGGGAGCCAACGCCACCAAACACGACAGTGAGGGCAAGACTGCGTAAGTAGCTTAGCTAAGATGGCAGCCATTTTTTATTCTGTACCCAATAAATAAATAAAATTCCCGTTTGCTGGGAACTTGTAATATTGCGAGTTAGTGCTTCACCCCAGTGGGTCATCCAGATCCTACCACTGCTATGCCTAATTCATTTGCAAACACTTTTTATTTTATTTTATTGCTGGAATAATTGTGTCAGGCACCACTGTTTTAAATCAAGGTACGGTGCATTTCCTGTAGAAATCAGCCATGCAGCGTGTTTACTATGAGTGTCCAAGGTTTTTGTTAAATCAAATTTTCCACCTGCACCCAGCAGACACCCCATGTTAAAGAATAGAGTCAAGTTGATTCAAAGTGTGCTTTGCTCCATGCTTACATGCTGTATCAGTGCAGTGGCAAATTCTTCAGCTGTTGCTAAATGTTCTACAAACAGGACAATCCAACGGCCCTTGCGTCGATGTTAATCTCAACTCAGTGACATTTACACCCATGCAAGGCCCTTTGGAGCATGCTGAAAATCACTTGTCTATTCCTGCTGCTGCATCAGATTTGTGCTGCCTGGTACTTCTCAAACCCTGGGTTTCCCCAGGTTTCATCAAGATTGCCTTTTAAGCACAATGCAGCTGGTGCCTTAAAGTGTTCCATCATAGATAGCTCAACGAAGATGTCGACCCAGTGTGTGCCAGCTGTGAAAAAGGCAAATGCCATGCTAGAGATTGTTAGGGAAGGAGCTGAAAATAAAAAAAGTTGCGTATCATAATACCATTATACAAATCTATAGTGCAAAGTCCTGCTTAGGAAGGCAGTTCTACTTGGCATGAACCTTAGTGCTGATGCAGATGTAATGCACTGGTTTAATCAAACCGAGGAAAGGAGGGGAAATTTGTGCAGGAGTTGTGGTTAAGGGACCCAATCACCTTCATGCCCCCAAATTGCTAACTCTGATTAGGAGATTGGTTCAGAAAGAGCACTCCTGTTTTTCTATGGGTCCAGTATTGCAAAGTATCCTCAAGTTTGGAGAGAAATAGCTAGGAAGAAGGAATTGTGGACAGGAGAGAGTTCAGTGTTTCTTGACAAATTCTCAATTTTGTGCAAAAATCGCACCCTGACTGCCATCCTTTTTTACACGTGAATTGGGACAGGCATGGTTTAGACATGCTATTGTCATGTGTAGGAAACCCTGTAATATATTTGTGTGGAATAATGCAGTAAAGGATAGGCACCTTTCTAAAAAATATTACTACACAAGACAGGGACAGGGAACCTGTAGTCTTCCGTGTGTGTGTGTGTGTGTGTTAGGACTCCATCAACCTCAGCCAGTATGGCCAGTGGTTAGGGACGATCTCACTTGTAGTCAAAGAGGATCTGGAGGGCCGTGGGTCCCACACCAGAAACCTCAAGTGTATTTGTATATGTTTCCTGTTCCAGTTCGAGTTCTGATGTCTCATGCAGAGTTTGCCATGCCTTTTTCTTTTTCTTTAAATAAAAGCACAAGATTTTTGGCATTAATCTTTTACAGCCACAGAGAGAATCAATTTTCTGGACAGTTGAGAAATAGCTTAATGGTTCACGTCCCTTGAAAAAACAAAAGGCTTTTAAAATGTGGGCAGATTGGGAGAGAGGAAGAGCCATTCATAGGGAGAGTGAGTGACTCCTGGGCAGCTTCTTGCACACTATGAAGCTGAAAAGCACAGCCCTCCAGGCTTTGTTTATGGAGCCACACGCTTGGCTTCTTGCTTGCTCTGCTAGTTCTGTTCAGCAGCGTTTTCTGTTTGGATGAAGAGTTTGGACCTTTCACTCCCCTTAAGGAGTCTCAAAGCGGCTAACACTCTCCTTTCCCTTCCTCCCCCACAACAAACACTCTGTGAGGTGAGTGAGGCTGAGAGACTTCAGAGAAGTGTGACTAGCCCAAGGTCACCCAGCAGCTGCATGTGGAGGAGCAGGGAAGCGAACCCAGTTCACCAGATTACGAGTCCACCGCTCTTAACCACTACACCACACTGGATAAAGAAACGGAACGATGGTGTTGTCTGCAAGTGACCTGAATGGAATCCTCTTCCGTAGCATCTTAAATATGGCATTAAAAGGATCTGTATCCCTTTTGAAAAGGGGGGAAGAAAAAAAAAGAATTTGAGTGGGCTATAGCCAACTAAGTTTTACTCAGAGAAGACCTATTGAAATCAGTGGACTTAAGTTATCTGCATCTATTCATTTGACTGTGAGCAGGACTAATATTGGATACAGTCGGTTGGGTTCCCAAAATCACTCAAGCACATGAAATTTAAGTGTCCTGTGTATTTTGGCTGCATGCACACACTTCTTTACTGAGATTAGATTCTTCAGCCTTTGTAAATCCCAAGAGAGCGTGTTTCTTCAGACTTCCTCAGCTGGAAAATGATGCATTGCATGATCAGTTTTTACCAGGAAACAGTGGTTACCTGGGTTTGCATCAGAATCTCCGGCTAAAACAAAGGGAAGAAACTTGGTTTAGGATCGCCTTTCAAGGTGCTTTGAGGACCTGGCTGTGGGACTTCAAAGCACCTTGCACCCGCCATTATTCTGATATCAGGTGATTGACAGGTAGGGCCCCCTGATAATGATCTGTCTCACAGAGCTATAAAAGAGGTCTAAGAGCAAAGTTCATTTCTGCTGCATAGTTGCCCTTAGAGATGCCTTAGCTGATATTCCCAGCCTTAGATCTGTGCAGCCTCATTTTACGATGTAGCCATGGATGAATGATTTATCGATTCCATAACCGACTCGCTTCCTGGTGTGTGTGTTTACATAATTAGTCTGGAGGTGACACAAAGACCAAAATACAGTGACAAAGTCTGTTATGCAACTAATTCTCCCAGTGGGATGGATTTTTTGTATTTTTTTTGTAATAGAGCTGGCAACATACTAACATTGCCCCCGTTTCCAAGAGCCTTCCCTGATGCTAAATCAGGAGTTTATCCTTTGCACTGCACTCATGCTAACTTTGCTCTATCTGGCTTGTTACCATCATAGTCCAGACCTGGTAGAGTAGGTGGGATATTGAGAGAAGTAGGAACTGCTATTGCTTGTGAATATTGTTTGTTTCCTTTTCATATAAGGAGATTCTCCGTTTAGGAGGGGAAAACACCACATATGTACTCAGTTCTGAGCTTGCTTGGATCATCTGAGATAAGAACTACTAATAAAACATATTCAGGCTGGCAGGCTCTCTGGCCCTGTTCACATATTTTATTTCCCCCCTCTGCTTTCCTCCAAGAAGCTCAATGTTTTTCTCCTGTCTTATCCTCACAATAGCAGTGTGAGAGAGTCATCCAGTGGCTTCCATGCCTGAGTGGGGATTTGAACCCTGGTCTTCCAGATCCTAGTCCACCACTCTAAACTACTACACTACATTTGCTCACATATTTTAGCTACAAGTGTGGAAGTGTTTCTGCTTTTTCGTCGTCAGATTCCACACAAATGTTGCCATTCCTGTAGGCTGAATCCTTTCCTGCTCCGGTTCATGGAGGAAATACGTTATGCTTATACAAAAGGGAGGGCCTTCTCTGTGGCAGCCCCATCTCCCCGACTCTGGGATGCTCTCCCAAAAGAGAGATGCCTGGCATCTATGCTGTATTTCCTCCTGGCACCAAGTTTAAAAAGTCTTTATTTGCCTAGATAGTTGAAACAGGTGGTTGAGTGGTTTTCCCCCTTCCATTCAGTTGGGTTATCTTTTTTGCTTAATGATTTATGTTGCTTTTAATGTTGTTTTGTGGGTTATACGATTTAAAAATGTTTATATGCACCCTTTTGGATAAAGGTGCAGTAATGGAAATTCCTTTAAATCAATAATAAAGGTATGATTGATGTGATTATGTGGAACATGCCCTTCCCAGGTCATTCTGTTACCTATAGTTTTTTATGCAGCACATGTCGTTTTCACTGGCCTTAGAGAAACTGGAGTCCTGATTCCAAGTTTGGGGTTTTCACGAATGCTAAGCAATTTTCACGAATGCCAAGCAGCAGCAACTAAATGATGTAACTGATCTCTATGCATAGACTAGACTTCAGTGGCTTTTCACAAAAGTATTTAAACATTTGTTGTGACTTACTTCCTTGGTTTTTTTCAAAGAAGTGCAGAAATATGCCTGAGGACATTTGTCTTTATACGCATCAGATCCTCCTCCTACCACCAGAAGGGGAGGTGGTGGTGGTTCAGCTGAGGTTAGGACAAGATACACCTTGGGAAAAGCATGATAATTGCAGCGAATTCATGGTACTGGCAGAAGTTGCTCTCAATGATTGATGACATAGTTGAAACTACCTGGGAAGGTTAGCCAAGGTAATTTTGTAGGAGGTGGGTAAAACTTTGGTTTACAGACTTAAAATTGTGTGGGTGCAGTCAGACACAGGAATAAGAGGGAGCAAGATATTTAGAGCATTTGCACCCTGCTCATCAGGGATGCAGGTGGCGCAGTGGGTTAAACCACAGAACCTAGGGCTTGCCGATCAGAAGGTCGGCGATTCAAATCCCCGCGATGGGGTGAGCTCCCGTTGCTCGGTCCCTGCTCCTGCCAACCTAGCAGTTTGAAAGCAAGTCAAAGTGCAAGTAAATAAATAGGTACCGCTCCGGTGGGAAGGTGAACGGCGTTTCCGTGTGCTGCTCTGGTTCGCCAGAAGCGGCTTAGTCATGCTGGCCACATGACCCGGAAGCTGTACGCCGGCTCCCTTGGCCAATAAACCGAGATGAGCACCGCAACCCCAGAGTCGGCCACGACTGGACCTAATGGTCAGGGGTCACTTTACCTTTTTACCCTGCTCATCGGCCAAAAAGGCTCTCGGAGCAGCTTGGATGTTTGGATAGTTTGGCAGAAGAGCCATAGTCCTGTGATGCAGCACATGCCTTGCTTTGCAGGAAGGTCCTGGGTTCAAACCACAACACTTCCGGGAAGGTCTTGTATAAACTCCTGTCCGGAGAGCTGCTCGATAGGCCACTGACTGCTGCATTTTAAATAATGAATAATAGC